TAAGAGGGATGTTTAATGTTAACTCCTGATCTTCTTATCATCACTGACCGCAATAACAATGCTGTAAAGATGGTGGGATATCAGCAGTCAATCTGTGTCTGATCAACTACAACTAGATGCTGGACCATGGGATATCACACCAGTAACAAACAAAGAAACTTGCTGTCACACTTCCTTACAAACGTACAGTACAGTTTATTTCTATCTCATCAAACAAATTGTTAAGAAGCACAATATGATGGTTGATGGAGAGTGTAATGGTATAAGCTATTATCAAGGTAAATTTGTTGTGTCATTTGTTAATCCAGCAAAACTTCAGATCCTTGATAAGGAATGGCACTACACTGACAACAATTGATGGTAAAAACATGTTTAAACTTACACATTATGTCATGTGTAACAAAAGTTCTATCTATGTATCTGACAGTTGGATGAACACAGTAACAAGATTAAACTGGCAAGGTGAAGTGATTGGTGGATGTACTGGTATGGTCAGCCTATTGGAATGTCACTGTCAGATGATGGTACTGTCTTTGTGTGTGACTTAAAGGAAAATGTTATACAGAGATAACAGAGATTGTGGTACAAGGAAAGGTGGGTGTATGAAGAATCTGGAAAGTCCATATGCTGTATGCTGGTGTGAGGAAACAAAGAAGCTGTATTTCAGTGGGTGGCATAGAGATGAGATAATTGACAACTTTCTCCACATCTATAAACTATCATACAGTTGAGCAAAGATTACATGAACAATATAAAACTGTTTAATGTACACAATGTACTTTCATTATCCATTTACATTAACTCGATAAAAATATTTGTATCATAGTTTGGAGACCTTTTAATAGAAAATGTGTCAAGAGCCACACATGCACAGTGCATTAAGTGCATTAGCTGGAATGCGGGTCTTAGTTACCTGCACTCTAGTTACCACCCTGTCTATCAAGGACAAAAATAGAGCATGCTCGTTGTTGATTGGCTCATTTTTTCTGGGGTTTATTTATTGTGATGATAGGGATAGGGATAATGATAGAAAAATCATATTCCAAGACTTGTGCATTGGTTACTTTTTTCTGGGGTTTCATATTGTGACAACAAAGAAAGTGTTTTTATTTTCGCCCTTGTGCAAATCAGATTGCCTCGTGTTTCAATGCTCTTTCTATTACATAATTGGTTTTCCATGTTAGGAAGATAATGTGAAAATGTTTAAAATCTAATTCTGCTTAAAGATATACCAGTACTATGCTGAAACTTGATATTAGACTAGAAATGTGTCATCATGCCACGGATGCCCCCGCATGCAGCCAAAATTTCAGATGTTATAATATTTAGTTCCAAATTTGTTTGCACAAATTATTTTTTTCATTTTAAGTTCAAAGCCCTTAAAACTTTTCAATGTTAACACAAACCATTTCCATACAATGTTCAAGGCACTGAAATTATTCAGTCTTAACCTTCGAAAATAGCATATTTCATATTTGTAGCCAAAATAATGGCTACATAGATTTCACAAAAGTGATGAGTGCTGAAACTGAAAGTTCAAAATTTTTCCATTATTCAAGAAAGATAAGTTTGTCCAAAACATTGAACCACGACCAAATTCAAACTTAAACTGCTTATTCCCTAAGATGTATCTATATTATTTTCAAAGTGAAAGGGACATAACTCTGCCAAAAAATCATCGAACCATGACAAAATTCCAACTTGACCTGCCCATTCCTTTGACATATCCATATGTCAATTTTGAGTTGAATATGTAACACTGGTTGGGTAGATAATGAAAAGAAACTGTAAATTTCATATTATTTTCAAAGTGAAAGGGGCTTTACTCTGCCAAAAATCATTGAACCATGACCAAATTCGAACATTGGCCTGGGCATTCCAAAAACATGTCCATATGTCAAATTTGAGTTGAATGTGTTGTACCGGTGGGGAGGTAATAAACAGAAACTGAAAATTTCAAATTATTTTCAAAGTGAAAGGTGCATAACTCATGCCAAAAATCATTGAACCATGACCGAAAATTTACTTGACCTGCGCATTCCTTTGACATTCCATATGTCAAGTTTGAGTTGAATGTGTTGTACCGTTGGGGAGATAATGAACGGAAACTGAAAATTTCATATTATTTTCAAAAAGTAAAAGGGGCATAACTCTGCCAAAAATCATCGAACCATGACCAAAATTCGAACATGACCTGTATTTTATCATGACATATCTATATGTAAAAATTTTGAGTTGAATGTGTTGTACCGTTGGGGAGATAATGAATGGAAACTGAAAATTTTCATATTATTTTTCAAAGTAAAAGGGGCATAACTCTGCCAAAAATCATCGAACCATGACCAAATTCGAAGTTGACCTGTATTTTCTCCCTGACATATCCATATGTCAAGTTTGAGTTGAATGTGTTATACTGTTTTGGGAGATAATGAACGGAAACTGAAAATTTCATATTATTTTCAAGTGAAAGGGGCATAACTCTGCCAAAAATCCTTATATCGAACCATGACCAAATTTCGAACTTGACCTGTATTTTCTCATGACATATCCATATGTCAAATTTGAGTTGAATGTGTGCAACCGTTACTGAAGATAATGAACGGAAAATGATGATGACGGAATGACAGAATGACGGACACCAGGGTCACTATATGCCCCGGCCATTACATGACGGGGGGCATAAAAAATACTGAAATTGCTAATACTGTATCTTTGTAAATATAAAATAAAACATGTTTTGAATTCACAAAAAGTAGATATGTCATGTTTTAAATTCCTAACCGTGCCGAGTGGTTAAGATCGTTGACTTTCAAATCATTGGCCCCTCACTGCTGTGGGTTTGAATCCCGACAGATACTTCTTGGATTCTTTCATGTGAGGAAAGGCTATCCAGTTAAGCTTAGGGAATGTCGGTGGTTCTACCTCAAAGGTGGCCTGTTTTTTGCTGTGGAAGGGGCACCTGCCCGGTCTTCCTCCACCAGTAAAGCTGGTAAAAAAACAAAAAAAAAATTGTCGCCAAATGACCCATACTGTGTCTGTGTGACGTAAAAACCCAATCAAACAAAGAAACCCAAATTCTAACAACAATGAATATATAAGCAATATTAAAAGATCCCTATCCAGCTTCCCATACATATTGGTAAGTTATTAATTTCTTTTATTCAAATCAGAACATATTCCCAGTAAGAATTTCATAGATTTCAATAAATTAGATAAATGTCTACTGATAATCAAAGAAAAGGAACTGCTCAATTTAAAACAAGAAGACTTAGTATCTTAAGAAAAGATACCCGGCTGAAGTAAACCTAAATTTTTGTGTGTAGTTTATTTTGGAGTTTTGTAGACTTGGATACTAAATTATTAAACAAACAAGAATTTGTGTTTGATAAACAAATGCCCCCGCACTCACTGTTGTCAATAATTTAACTTTAGAGAGTGAAGTAGCTAATTTGTATGGAAGACCTTGACCCAACTGACTCCTAACTCCATCCAAAGGAAGAATATCATGCAACTTATTTTCCTACCAAATATGCAATAAAACTGTCAATATATAAAGGCTGTATGGGCAAAAGTGTAAAAATCTATTTTTAGCACTGTTGACCTTGACCCAACTGACCCCTTACTCCATCCAAAGGAAGAATACCATGTAAGTTATCTTCCTACCAATTATAATACAAATCTGTCAATAAATAAAGGCTGTATGAGCAAAAGTGTAAAAATCTATTTTTAGCACTGGTAACCTTGACCCAACTGACCCCTACCTCCATCCAAATGAGAATACCTCAATTTTATGTTCCTACAAAATATACAAGACATCTGTCAATAGAATAAGGTTAATACACCTGTAAAAGTGTAAAAAATCTATTTTTGACATTGGTGACCTTGACCCAAATGACCCCTTACTAAAGGAAAAAGAAGAGGACCTCCCTTGGTAAGACTATTATAAACATGAAAGACATTAACTTAAAAATAAAGGCTGTATGAGCAGAAATGTTTATATTTATTTTTTTACACAAGTGACCTTGACCTAGAGACGCCTAACGCCACAAAAAATTAGAGGACCGTTTAAGGTATCCACCTACCAAATATGAAAGATATCATTAAATAAATTAGGTGGAATTTTTTGATAAATCCAACTTGGCGGAATAGGTTAACAATACAAGGCCCTATTTTCAAAGTGATAAAAAGGGAAATTACTGGGAAAATGGATGGCACATTTATATAACTTGGCAATATCATGTACATTGTATTGATAAGTAAGTGTGAAAATTATTAAGCCATTAGTTCAGATAGAACATAAGATATTTCCAACTTGCCCGCTTAGGTTAACCATTATTCATTTTCTAAGTGCTGAAAAGGGCCATAACTTGGTGCAAATGGAAGCCATAGTTATATAACTTGCCCAGATCATATACTTTGTATGGATTAGTAAGTGTGTAAATTAAGAAGCCATTGGTACAGGTAGAACTTAAGAAAAATCCAACTTGCCGTTCTAGGTTAACCTCGTACGGACGGACGGACAGACGGTTCAATTACTATATGCCTGGGGGCATAAAATTTAATAAATCTTCAAAGTAGAACTCCTTTTCTTTTTTACAGTATTTTTTGTACATGTGCTTATTTTTTTCCTTTTATCTTTACAAACGTTAAGCACTCTGCTACCAACGCCACTGTTTATCTATAATTCCATGCAATTTATTAACTGTAGCAAAGATCAAAGACGCCAACATGAGCAAAACACAATCTAATCCATACTTGTGCTCAATTCATTTTTACACTCATGTATATCTTTTTAAAATAATGGATGTCATTTTAAATGTAAGTGGAATTAAATAAGCATACTTCAATTGACATAGCATTCAATAATTAGATCTCTAAGAAGCAACATAACATGTCAAGAAAAAAGTAATATTTACATAATGTAACATATTCTGTTATGAAAAAAGTTATATTAAGATGATTGAAATATAATGTGTAGATACTGACAAAACAAAACAAACCTTCTTCTTGCTCTCCAATAAAACAAAGACTGGCTGGCTCTGACCTGAAAATTGTACACAATTTTTGATAATATGTATGCATTCAACCAACTATTGTGAAAGATTATCAATCACTTTTTCCCTTGAGCTGCTATTCATGAATAATAATTGACTGTACATGCTTAGGTAAGCTAACAACAGCTCCACAAACCACTCTTGTCAGTGCACAAAATAGTTGGGGTTTTTTGGTTGGGTTTTGCAAGGCACTGACATAGTATAGGTCATATGGTGACTTTCCAGCTTTACTGGTGGAGGAAGACTTTGTGTAAAACCACTGACATTCCATAAGCTAGCTGGATAGCTTTCTCACATGTAAAGTGCGTGGCTCAAACTAACAGCAGTGAGAGGAAAGTGGTTTAAAGTCAATGACACAGACGCCTCCTAAAATAGTTGTAAACAAGTGAACTATGCTTATTCAAAACTAGTAACTAGTGTGTTAAATCAGACTTTGTCATTATACAGCCTCCTTGTGACAATGTGATTAAAAAACACACATGTAGAATAGTAATACACTCTTAGTAAATATTATCATAAAATTACTCATAAGATATTTAGGATGCACTTTGCATAAAACATTTTCATATAATTGCAAAAAAAAAAATTGTTTGGTTTTAAATTTTACTGGAATTATTTCAAACACAATTTAATACTGTCTATTTATTATACAGTAAACTTCACTTATAGCGAACACGGTTATAGCGAACTTCCGGTTATAAGGAACAATATATTTTGGCCCGAATTTTGCCCTTCTTTATTTAATATAAAAATATACGGTTATAGCGAACACGGTTATAAGGAATTATCGCTTATAAGGAACTCATTTCTTGGTCCCAATTTAGTTAAAAGTACAGAAAATTTCACTTTTATAACGAACTAAAAAAATATCGGCTTCGTATTTTCAACTTTCGTTTTCATTGGCACGGATTAAAACTCGGCCGAATGTACCGTTTATTATTTCTTTTCTTTCATATTTTTGCTCGAGTAAAATAATTATGATCATTTATAATCGGTCACGCATGCTTGCAAGCATAATCAAATTGAAAACTACAAATCACGCTTGATTGAAATGAAAAGAAATCTATATATTTTATAAGATCTAGTAAAAGTCACCCTTAAAATATAATAGAAGATATTCAATATGAAAGGAAAGAAAAATCGAAAATATTGTTTATTCTCAATCATGGAAAGAAAACGAAAAGCACTGAGTTTAGATAGAAAAGGAGTAAAACTAAAACTGACATAGCAAAGGATTTTCAAATTCCAAAAAGTACGCTCTCGGGTATTGTGTCTAAAATAGAAATAAATAAATCAAATGCTCTTCAAAATGGAGGACGATGGTAACAATTAGTTCGTTATATGTAAATCTGTTCGCTATAAAAACTCCTTATACAAGGAACTAATTCGCTTTATGCTTACAAGGAACTCCGGATATAAGGAACTGATTTTGAATGTCCCGATGAGTTCGTTATAAGCGGAGTTTACTGTAATACCTTGTTGCCACAGGCTGATCTTTTGGTTTTGGTTTGGTTGTTAAGTCTAACACACCATTATCATTATCTGTAACACTGTCCTTCACTAATGGTACCGGATTTTCCTTCACAAGTGATAACGGACTTTCCTTCACAAGTGATAACGGACTTTCCTTCATAGCTGTTGCAGCTGTACTTTCCTTTACAACTGGTAAAGCACTGTCCTTCAAAAGTGGTAAAGCATTGTCCTTCACAAGTGATGAAACACAGTCCTTCACCACGCTGGATAATATCGAAATAGAAGTAAGACATTAACACACCTACATCCTATCGCTAAAGAATTTTATTTAGCAGCACCAAACAATACCTTTTGTAAATTATTTTGAAGCCAGATATCAGAACTTCACACTAAACGTGTAGCAAAGTCTGCCATAATTTTTCAGTAAGTACACAAATAGAAGGAATCTGGTACATCCAGCTTTCTGTAAAATGTTAAGCAAAATATATTCCGCGCTTTAGGAGTGATAACAAATATTAATGCTCTGTTGTGTTCTCACTATTTTAAACATTATTACTACTGAAAGTGAATGATTATCTCAATTCTTTTTTCAATAATAAGTTTCAGAAAGCAAGTTTCTAACTATCTACTGACATGTATTCTTTTAACTATTCAAAATATGTAGAGGATATTTGTTTGTTTTGCATGTAAGATTGAAATATAATTTCACTGAGTGAACACCAGATGCAATATTTTCACAAGTGGCGTAGCCACGAGTGAAAATATAATAACTGGTGTTCACTAATGAAATATATTTCAATCTTATATGTAAAACAAATAAATTTTCTTTTTATTTCATGCTTTTTAAGTGAATTTAAGTACATTTTTACTAATTTTGCCGCGTAACGTCACACATTCTCCCTTGTGACGCCATCACATCATGACATCACATTATCAATTTTGAAATATAGGTCTGTTACATTTCTCCAATTTTGTTACATTTTTAACTTTATGTATGATGACATCGACTTTCTTTTCCTAAAGAAGCAAAATTTACGCATGACGGCATTTATTTCTGCCTGTTATTCCATTAAGTTATGATTTTCTTTTCATCCACATTCAGATATAGTCCGGGACCAGTGAAAATTATATTTTATAAATTTCACTAGTGGTTAATCAGAATATAATCATCTGATATATTACAATAAAACACTGGAAATCATGAAATAAAACTTTTTAAACAACAATTCAAAGTAGCCACTTAGCCACAAAAAATCCTAAATGGCAAATATTGTGATCAGACAACTTTAGTTGGGTAATAAAAATGTTTTCATTTACATGAACTTTCATTTTGTCACTGATATCGTTTGAAGGTCACTGCCAAAGGAAGAACATGATGTGAGCCTAGACAGAAGCTGTTGCTGATTCTGTACTGACAGACTGTGAGTCATCACCAAGTCCCTGCCTTGAAAATATGTCCATAGATTCACTCGAGATACTACTAGCTGGTGACTGAAGAAACAATAAAAACAATTATAATTTTGTAAATTGACTTTTAAAAGCAGCATGCCTTAAGATTCATACCAAATATCCTTTATATTTTTCTTTTGAAAATGTACAAAAGGGTAAAATATTGTCAAGGGAACTAATTATAGTTAATTGAAGATCACCAAAATAAGGTCAAAATATGCAAAAATAGCCCTTACTGTATTAGTCATGCAGAAGAAATCTGGTTCTTCATTCATTGCATATATATATCAGGTTTACTTCATTACTTGAATTGTGAATATTTTACTTTTCTGAACATCTTAGTACATTTTTCTCAAAGTTGATTTTTTTGGAATTTTTTGGCACATTTGGATGCATGCAGATTAAAATGGACCTTTTCGTGCTTTTTTGATTTCAAGTTAATGATGAATATGCAGGCTGGTCTAGTTATATACTGGTGACAAATGCTTATCTCTTCCAGCAGGGAAAGCGTTAAATAAAATACAAGACATTTAAGTCAGACTTTTCATAAAAGGCGCCACCATATGATGCTAAAACCGTTTCAACATAACATTGCAAAGTAGTAAACTTTCTGTTAAAAATTGCGCATATCTTGTAAACATATACTGATATAGCATTTTATCTTTTCCAAGGTAAAGATTGTTTTTTTTTGGTTGTCTTTTTTAATTTAAACACTGATAATCTCTAAAATGTGCAAAAGTTGAACTTGGGAAAACAATTCAAGGATGAATACCTGTGATCCTGGTATATGGGGTTTTCTAGGTTTCTGTTGTCTGAACCAGCTGGTTTTCCACGAGTCTAACTTTCTCCCCTTGTATTTCACCTTAAACAGGAAGAATTCAAAGACAATGTAAGTGATAATATCAGCATTTTATTGTGTTAAACCATTATGACCTTGTACTAGGCATTAATTAAAAAAATAGAATATGAAAAATATTTAATGGAAATTCATATTCTTTTAATTTCTTTTTTACAGTTCCCATTCACATAATTATTGACTAAAGAAATGAACAATCATCATCCTTCACTTTGATTAAATTAGAAGTAATTAATGACCTACATAATGAACATCATTAATACAGCATGGCAAAAATGTTGGCAGAAACGCCATATAAACTGTATAAAATTTATTCATAATTGCACCTTGTTTATAAGTATAAAAAAGCCATTTTTTCCAACATTCAATTAATTCTAATAAACACAAATGAGCTTGAATGAATAGACAGTAAATGTATAAATTTATGAGGCCATCCACAAACCAAGATTTCTTTGCTGGGTTGGACAAGTTTCTTACGAAAATTGCCATGAGCTAAGGAGAGCTAAATATTTGATCAGTCTCGTTTGATTTGAATCTTTCCATTTGATTGCAGATCTGCTGTGAATTTTGACCTGAAATGAATATGAAATTCATTTAAAAAAAGCAAAAAATTACAGAAATGTGATAAAGCATAACATAAAATATAGAAACCTTAAAATGTTCATTGTTAGTTAAAACAGCATGCCTCCAGATTCATGCACATGTTTTATACAAATTCAAAAAAATGTTCAATACTACATATAATTTTTTCAAAGTGTACATTTAGACTGGAAATAAATTTTATAGCTAGCCTATAAACTACCAATAAAAATTTTAAGATTTCCCTTTACTCTTTTGAAAATTTAAATAAAAAAATTAGTAAAAAAAATAAAAAATTAATGTATTTATAATTGTAATTGCAAAAAAGCAAAAAAATGTTTTATATTTTTATTCATATTTCCTACTATTTTTATTTTTTATTGTTTTATTTTTTTATTTTTAAAAGATTGAGTTTTAAAAACTTCAGTTATTTAAAAAAAATGGTAAAAATTTTTATGTGATTGCCCAAAATAATTGTTGTTTAAAGAAATCTTAATGTGTTTAATATATATAATTTAAAAGGAAAAGATTTTATGGTATCCTAAACAAGAGCGTCAAAATGTAAATGATTTTTCCGTTTTCCCGTCTTTTTTCTATGTCACAAAGGGGAATTATGACTAAAGAGGGGGGTAATAGCCCTGGAAAAAAAAAAAAAAATGGTTTTCTTATGATTTTCCAGCATTTTTAAGTAAAAATTAAAAATATTCAGTTCATGTAAAAATTTTTGAGGATATGTTTGTATCAGTAAAAAAAATCCCAAAATACCCCCGGGGACTAACTTCCGGGTTTGATATTTCACCCATAAAATCTTTAAAGAAACCCCCCTTCCTGTAATGTCCCTGGCAGTTTTTGGGTTTTGGGATGTTTTCCCCCTAGCTCAATGAAATCTTCATTTTCCATATCGTCCCCTCATCCATCTCATCGGGGAATATTTAGTCTTTTTAACCTGCTAGGAATTTTTTTTTTAAAATAACAGCAGCAAAATGATATTTACTATAAACAGTGGGGTTTTTGGGGAAGTTTTTGGGCCCAAAACATGTCATTAACATGATCCCTCGCAAATTTAAGGTAATTTTACGGTTAAGTTTGATATTAATTTATGAAAATGAAGATAGTGGGCTACTATTTTTAAGGGTTACTGAAAGATCATTGTACACGTTAAAAAAAAGTGCACCCTGGGGCTCGCCCCGGCCCCTAAAATAGTACCATGTTACCGATGAGTTCCGGCGCTTACACATTACCCCCTTAAATGTGAACAGTTCGAATATACATATCCCCCGGTAAATTTTAAAATTTGTCCCTTTAATTTAAGAGTTACAGGCAAAGTAAAAATTAAAATTGAGCTACTCGTCACGGTCTCTGGGTTTGGCGCCCAAAAGTCAAAGGGTGAGAAAATGTGCAGCCTGCCCGGGGCTCGACTGGACCCCCCAGATATGGTACCCGGCATTTAACATCATCTCCTTACATAGTGACAGTTTTTGAACCTGACACATGTATGTATTACTGTATACCTATTGTGCTATGTTTGCATGTAGTATTTATAAGATATAATGTCTTTTTTTAAAAGAAATACTGGAGCAAATTTTGACACTGTGGGGAAAGATGGTACAGCAAGTTATGTACCTTGTATATATTATATATAGTTAACAGGTGCTGAATCGTAATTTTGTTCTTGATGATCAATGGGAGAGGGTTATGACAATTTGACCATTCATTTAAATTATTGGCAAGAAAAATGTTCCGAATGCCCATCATAAAATTAAATATCAAATTTATATCATGTTTCAAGGAAATACCAGATTCAAACATATATAGTCAAAATAGAAAATGATTTCAAAGTCATTCACTAAATATATATGTTCTTAATATATTTTTGAATAATTTGGGTCGAATTGTAAGTGGTACAAATAATTATATTATCAAACAAGACTGAAATTCTATCTATCTATCTATCTCTGGATACTGCCAACCCCTCTTACGAGTGTTAAAGGCAGGAATTTAGTGCACGTCGGATTGTTAGTAAAAAGGGGAAGAGAAAAATAAAAAGAAAGTCAAAACTTTACATGCTTGGAAAGGGGAGACTGAAAAAGTTTCTAGTCATGTTAAATGTTAAAAGTAAAAAAAGTGATAAAGGATAAAATAGTTTAAAAACATGGGAGTAAGTAGTAGCAACACCCCTGCCCGTTTGAACTGATCAGGTTGGGCGGGTGCAATGTTTGGAAAATTTTTCCTGTTAAAAGCTATGAGGAAAAAAGGTATTTTTGGGAGTGGGGGTACCCGTATTTGCGTAGGTAAGGGTGTTTTGGTTTCTTTTGGGGTTTGAACTAAGTTTTGGGGGATTAAATTTCAACTGGTTATGGTATATTTATAAAAAAATTTATCAGTTACGTCCGTCTGGATGTTCAAGGATCGCCAGCCCAGTTCTTTCCTGCATGGCTGTGACACTAGATGTGAGCGGGAGTAATCCCTTTAACCCATCTTATTGGCACGTCTACTGAGAGATCATGACTCTTGAGTGAGAGCAGTTACTCAACTTTGTCAATTATTGGTTTTAGTACTAAGGAGACCAAATAGATGAGGCATATTCAACCTGTGGGCGGACCAGGGACTTGTATGCTAGTTCTTCTTATCTTTTCTCATTTTTAGTGATGACCATTTCTTTAATAAAGCCAAGGGATTTGTTTGCATTGGAAGTTATTCGAGATATATGTGTATTAAAGTAATATAAGGTCAGCAGATAGATCTTTAGTCCGAGATATTTAGCATTTGTACACAGACTCTATGGGATTTGGCCATGGAGCATATATTTGTGTTTAATTATGGTCGTTATTTTGGTCTGTATGATATGGATGACTTTTGGCATTTTGAAGTCGGTTAAACTGCCATGGGACGCTCACTGCTTTCTCCACAGAACCATTAATTAGAGAATCTAGATCATGTTGAGAGAGTTGGGGGGTCTGAGGAGGAATTGATGGTTAGGTATACAGCAGTGTCGTCTGAAATAAAATACTGACGTGTTGGGGATTTGA